TAGGATGTTGAAGTAATTCCTACAGTCCCTAGAGAAAACTTGCCTATGTCATCTACCTGTGTAGGTACCCCTGGCCCTACTCTCAGATTTAAAACATGGCCTCCAAGATCAGAAAATACTAAATCTCAAATATGGCCCCCACAGTTCTGCCTGGACACTACCTTAATAGATCTGAAAAATCTTCAGTGGAGCCAATTATTTAAGTGGGAAAAAAAAATTCTAGTTTTTGTCTATTTGATTATAGAAGGTCATTGTTAAGAGTGATCATTCCTGGAAAGAGGAGAGTCTTGTAAGAATGCAAGGGAAGGAGAATACAAACAGCTAACATTATGTTATGTACTGAGCACTGTGCCATATACTTTACATTAAATATTACTTCCAGTGAACTTAGGGGAGATTGGTGGTTCACACACTTTGGTATGTAAGAAACACCTCTGAGGCTTGTTAACAATACAGAATCCTGTACTTCATCATCACATACTCTGAACAACAAATACTGTTACGATAGTGATTCTCAGATCACACTGAAGTGTTTGTATTATTTTTCCCAGAGTCTCAGCAAGACCATGCAGCAGGAGTATCCTATGGTATAACATGAAATATATTTGGTTTTTGTCCCTGGTTTCTGTCAGAGAAGACCTAAAATTCTTAGTGTTTTCAGAGTGATGGGAGGGGTCTTTAGGTTTTTTACTATGAGCCCCTGTTATCATACCTTGGTTTATACTAATGAGGAGACAGGGTGGGGCTCTACATAGCCCAGAATGAGACTGGTTACCAAGAAGTACAAGTGATTGAAGGATTGATTAAAGAGTTGACACTTTCTGCTCTGCCCATCATCCTCCAGGAAATGGTAATGCAGTGGAGATTAAGATGTATAAAACAATGAAATTTGATAAGCCTCCTAGATGCCAAACATGTGGAAGTGTTGGGATGCCAGTGGGCTAGAGAGGATATGGATGCTCTGTGTGTCCTCTTGTTAGGATGGCCTTAGGCCTGAGCCTGAGCAGCTCCATTTTAAAAACTCTAGTTTGAAACCTGCAGTTTCACCAGGCATATCCACAGAGCCCTCCATAATGGCCACAAATAAGTTACTTCCCCTCATCATGATAAATAGAATGAAGCCCCTAGTAGGCTGTCCTTGCCTGATAAGAGGGAAAGGTGAGAAGATCAGGGTGGAGACCACCAGACCAGATGTTTCTGACCCCAGTGTAAATGATGTCCCTGAGAAATCCGGTGGTAGCTGATAAAGATTGAAAGGGGGGTAAAAACCCCCCAAAATTTAGTATAAATAATAGAGCAAATGAACAGGGATTCAGCCAGCCAAAACAAGGATGCACTCGAGCTGGAGAGCCTGATGAGGACCTGACCTCCTATCACTTGTCATCTTTTCCTGAGCCTCCGCATGATCCTCACTGCTCTCAAACTCTACTGCCTCATTTGAGCCTTGGTAAGAGCTGAAACTTCTCCCTACCACCCTCTCCTCAACAGGTCGCCCACTCTACACCAGGAAAAGCCTGCCTTGGTTCCAGACCTGATCACCAAGGTCTGAGTGAGTGTGCATCTGCTGGACATAAAGCCTATGGCTTAAGACTTTTGAACTTAGCCTGCAGAGGAAATGTCTGTCATTAGCCTATCATGATTAAGTGTGTTTTGCAGTGCTTAGAATTAATCTAGAATTGTTTGCTGTCAATTATATCTATTGCAGTGCCTAGCATTAAGGATTGTCGTTTTCTTGACTAAGAATCTATAGAGTGAAATTGTATTGAGTAATTTGAGTGAATAAAGAATTGAAAGGGGCAGAAACATGTGGACATTCTTTATTTCTCCCCCGACTGCATACGTCGCAATTTTGCCCCCTCAGGACTCCTCTCTACCCCTGACCCCAAGGTAGAATAGAAGAAATAATAGGTAGAAAGGAGACACAGAGGTAGGACAAGGAAATTAATTTTAATATAAAGTTCCACAACTTTCCAGGACTCTCATTCCCCAAGTCAGTCTTTTTCTGAGGCCTGTCACATCCATGTTTCTGGAAAATCTATAAATCTTAAAGTTAATCATAAATTTTCTCAGTTATAATAATCAACTTTGTGTGCAGTTAATTAGCCCACCAATTAATACACTAAGCAAAGAGAGGGAAGATATTTTAAGAAAGCTATAATTTAGGGGACTTACCAGTGTTATCTATGATTAGATGATGAAAACCATCTCAGCCTAAGGATCCTGAGAACTACCAGACTGATGTCACCCTCACATACCTTCCCCAACCTACCCCTCACCAAGTTTCCTTTAAAAAATGAGTCTGGGTCCCCAAAACTCATTTCTCACTCTCAAGATGACCCACATTTCTCCCTCAAATGTGTATTCTTTGCTTTGTCTCAAAAGGCATCTTTCACAACATAGCCCATGTTAGGTGCAGGACAGGCTGAGTAAGCTGTCTGCAGGGCTTGCCAAACAAAGTTAACTGCAAGGTGACCTGGCCACTCAAACCCTCTGTCTGGTTCTTTATCACCAGTTTGCTTCAAGCCCAAACACCCAAGCCCCTGCTCAAGGCTGAGTGCTTTGCCCCCCTGCTCAAGGCTGAACACTCAGCCCGCCACTCAAGGCCAAGCACTTAACCCCCTTGTCCCAACAAGACAGCTTGCAGGCCCAGAGACCCCATTAGATTTGGGCTATAAAAACTCCCTCCTGCCGGGCCCCTCTTTCTCTTGCTCTCTCTCTCTCTCCTGCGCTCGCTCTCTCTCTCTCTCTCTCTCTCTCTCTCTCTCTCTCTCCTTCTCTTTCTCTTTTCTCCTCTGTTGCACTGCTGCAATAAAGATCTCTTGGTCACTCCGAGTGTTGTGGTCACTTTCCTTTCAGCCCATATTCTCCCTTTAACGTGTATCTGCTTTCCCAAATAAATCTGTCTGTGCCTCTACTGACACATGCAAAATTCTTTTCTGTTACATATGTCAAGGACTCTGCTGGTACTGAGTTAAATCACCCCTCCCTCCAGGAACTCCTCAGAACCCTTTTCTGGAGACATCTCTTCTTTGGTGACACACCCACCCACCCCTTGTTCTGTACATCTTACCCAAATGGCTATTGCTTAGTAATATCTTTTATTATAATAAAGTGGTAAACACAAGTTTATTTCCTTGTATCTATGAACTATTTGACAAGATTATAGTGTGTGTGTGTGTGTGTGTGTGTGTGTGTGTGTGTTATGGGAACCCTGCTTCTAACTGGTGGTCGGAAGCACAGAACACAACCCAGTGCTTCCAGTTGGGTCCTGAAATGAAGGCAGTCTTGTGAGATTGAGTCAATCTGCAGGATCTGACATTATCTCCAGGAAGACAGTGACAGAATTGAATTGAAGAAATTGGTGTGTGCTAGAGATTTCTCAGTATGCAAGGAAACATGCCCACATAATTTTTTGACCAGAAATGGTAGAGTGTGTTGAGGATAAGTAGAGAGAAAAAAAGCTTTCTTTTATTTTTTACAGATCATTTTTTGCCCCAAATGGGCAGGATACTCAATCAGTTAACTATCACCTTGAAGGACCATGATTTTGGTTCTATGAAGCTAGTTAATATCCGGCACAATGTCAGGGTTGAGGTAGTGATGCAAGATTAGCAAGCCCAGAATTCTGGCTAGAGTGATGGGTTGATGATTCCCTGTTCTCCCCCTGTTAGCTAATACTGTTCTCATACTTTCCGTGTTTAGAATTAAAACTTCGTTTTTAAATTCCTTCTTTATATCTAACATTAAGTTAGTTGTTGAATTATCCCTCCCACCTTCACCCACCCCTACTAGGGATGAAGCTCCAGGGCCTTGCATGTGCTGGACAGACATTTCGTCACTGAGCTACATCCCCACTCCCAAGTTGTTGATTTTTAACAGAAAATGTTTTTTTCACTTCCACCATTTCAGGACCATGGTAACAGTCTTAAAAAGGGCCTCAATGTTCTGCTTCACTACCTTAGAAATCACTCTGCACATTCTTCATCGACACCTTGGGGATGGGGTTGTGGTTCAGCAAAACAACGCTCTCCTGGCACATGCAAGGCACTAGGTTCAATCCTCAGCACCACATAAAAGTAAATATAATAAAGGTATTGTGTCCAACTACAACTAAAAAACAAAACAAAAAACCTTCAGATACTTCCTATTACACACACACACACACACACACACACTTCTCAATAACTTGTCATCACTGAGATGCAACATGAATTATTTAACAGTATTGATGACTTGAGTAGAAAGGAAATGGCAAAATATGAATTCAAATCAAGAACTACTGGAAAGTCAGGTATGGTGTTCCATGCTTATAAACCCACTACTTAGGATGCGTAGGCAGAAGCATATCAAGTTCAAGGCCAGCTGGGCAAAATTAGAAATTGATCCTGTCTAAAAATTAGAAACAAAAAGGGCTGGGGATGTAGCTCAGTGGTAGGGCATCCCTGGGTTCATATCCAGAAACAGAAAAGCAAACAAAAAACCTACTGGAGAATCGAATTAAAGTTGAATTTTTATTTGCATATTGAATCTATTTTCATTTTCCCCACGAATTAGCCATTAATTTTTGTAAGAAAAAAGTAATAACAGCTCGATTCTTTGAAAACAGTGTTTAAATAGTTGTCTATGTGAAGCAAATTAACTTCCACTATTACGAAGTACATTTCATGTACATTTTTGCAGTTCTGTGTTGGGGGCTTTTGGAGACTCCTTTTTCCATCGGGTTCTTCCAGCCCATCGGTTCGGGATCCTCCAGCCGCCCAAGGCCGGGAATGGGTGCTCGAGGCCCGGGAGAGCCCAGGGACAGGGCAGTACCCCAAGGGCAGCTTGTTGCGGCTGGCGGCTCCGGAAGTGCGTGCGCCCAGCCTTAATCCGAGCGCCAGTGAGGCGTTGTGGAGCTCACTGGAAACGTGCAGTTGGCGGGTCCCGCGGAGAGTCCGCCCACCCGCAGTCCTGTCACGCCCTCCCTGCCGTAGGCGCAGAAGAACCGCCTAGCCGCGTCCGTCGCCCCTGTCGTCCGCCCCTAGCTGTCCCGCCATGGCCTCGCGCCTCCTCCTCGGGTCCCTGCGCGTCCTGGGCCGCTGCTGCGCGCCGCGCCCGTCGCCCGCCGTAAGGTGAGAGCTGCAGGGGTGCGGGGCGGGGGCCACGCCGCCCTTCCCAGGGTCTTGGAGGGGATGGCATCCCCGGGCCGGGCCGCCGCGAGCCTGGGACGAGCGGATGGGCCTGGTCCCTGGCTCTCAGAGCGGGGCCGCCCCCTCCGCCGAGCCGGAGAAGATTTCGCCAAATGCGCGTTCCGGAGCCCTATCTCGCCCGGCTGGTGCCACTGCCTCGGCGGGACCCGGAGCTGGAAAATGCAGTTCGGATGCTCCCGCAACCGCGCTGCGACCTTTGGCCTAGTTAGGACTGCAGCGTGTGACAGCCACCTGATAGCGAACTTGGGACCAGCGCTCAGCCCGCGGCGACGCGGCGGAAAAAAGTGGCCAGAGCCAATAATCCAACACAAATGACCTGGCGAGCTCCCCATCAGACAAAGAATCAGCTTTAGATTTATTAGCAATCCATCAACTAATTAAATACAGAGGGATTATTGAAGGAGCTTCTAAGAGGCTCAGTGACTATTAAGGTGGTATTTTATAATAAGATAAAACGTTTCGGACACCGTCTGATGCATAAAATCCATTCATTGGATAAACAAACTGGAAGCACATAGGATTCATTATTTAATTAGGGTGAGAGGGCAGGTAAATGGTCTAATTACTACATTGTTTTGAAGTAAGGCACTCAGCTGCAAGACTTAATGCTTACTCTTGGGGAGGTTCAGGAGGCCTCACCGAATTGGCCACTTTAGCATACACATACTTCTAAGTTCAACCCCAGAATATCATACTAGAGTAACCCTGAAAGTTTTGGTATCAGGCCTTATTTATGCTCTTAAAATTATAGGACCCCAAAGATCAGTTCGCTATTTTAGTTGAAGTATGGGAAGAAAGTCTATCCTTACGAAGGGGATATTAGAAAAGGAAAGACTTGAGACATTCTTTCATTCATTAGACTATAGTTTTAGTGTAACAGACTTCTTAAACTTATATGTGCATATAAATCACTTGGGGATCTTGTTAAAATACTCATTCTGATTCCATAGGTCTGAAGTTAGGCCTAAGATTGTGTATTTATAACCAGCTTTCAGTTGTTGAGGGGTGCGCTGGTGGAGATTATTTGCTTTTGAAAATGTAAATGAGGCGGAATTTACAGAGCCCAGTCTGGAAGGTTAGTAGTTTATGGCCCTAGTAAAACAGAGCCTCTTTGAAATCGAAAGCAACCTCCTGAGAGCTGCTTTTCTGCATATGTATATTCCTTGCCCTTTGTCTACTGTGCTTCCTTTTATAAAAGTTTCAAGGCCCTTGTGTCCCTGAAAATGTAATGTTTTGAACAACTAATAAAAAAATAGTAAAAAAAAAAAAAATGAAAATGAAGATTTAAGAAAGAAAAAGATCTCTTCTATCTTCTTGAGAGCCGGCTTTGAATAACCTGTTTTGCTCACCAACCAACCAGTCTCCCAAGTTTTGTGGAGGGTTGTGAATGGTAAAGCCTCTTGCTCCTATTTTCAATAGGGGAGAAAAGGCCAATTTATTTGGTAAAGGATAAACTTGCTGCTAAGTGTTTTGATTTCTTCCCACTATGTAGTCTCTCTTGACCACCTGGGCTGACCTTAACATCTTTATTTTTTTCTTGTCATTTCTTTTGCTTTCATGTGTCCTAGTGTATTTTACTTGGAAAAGATTTCCTTAACATAATATAGGATATAAAAAATTAAGATCCAATTGAACTTGAAAATAAATTGTCTTTACTATTATTTACAAATGATTCAGTGTTTTAATAAGGCAGGAAAGAAGAAAAAGAATATGTAGAAAGAAAATGTATAATATTTACTAAATTAAGAAAATAATTTTAAGTTTCTTCATACCTTTCCCAGCCTGTCACTCTCCAAGCCAGTCTCACTTCAAGGCCTTTTACCCTCAAGTTTCTGGGAAATCATAAATCCTAAAGTTACTGTAAATTCACCCAATTATGAAAATTACCTTGTGCATTGTTCATTAGTCTACCAATAAATAGTTTACATAAAGACAGATAGGACATTTTAATAAATCTATCATTTAGGAGACTTTCCAATATTATCTATGGGTCAGATAATGGAGACCACATCAGCCTGTCAGACTGATGTCACCCTCACATACATTTCCTAACCCATCCCTCATCAAGTTTCCTTTAAAAGAAGACCTGGGAACCTGAAAACAGGTCTCTCGCTCTTAAGGTAGCACATATTCTCCCTTGAATGTGTTTTCTTTCCTTTCCTAAATAAGTCTTTATCCCTCTACTGACACTTGCTGAAATTCTTTTCCTTCAACACTGGCCCTGGGTCCAGCCCCACTCCCTCCTCCGAGAGCTCCTCCAGACCCTCTTCTAGAGGTATTTCTTCTTTTGTGACATGAGCTGGCTTATTTTTTCCCTAGAAGAAGAATACCAACTATGGATAATCTATATGGACACATATATACTTATAGTTTTATTTTTAGTGGCAAGAAATTGGAACCAATCATTTCAACTGGAGGGATAAAGTAAATTTTAGTTTACTCAATGCAACATGAATGACAGTGGTCTGTAAGGACCTTTCATGTTCTGGTTTCCTTTTGTCTCTGCCTTTATATAAATATTTTCCACTCATTCCACTGTAGCCACACTTGGCCTTCTTGCTGTTCCTAGATTACACCAGACACCATCCAGATTGAAATAACCTAAATGTTAACAAGCAAGACTGGTTAATAATAGTATATTAAGCTGATTTACTGTAACTCTTAAAGATGATAATTAGGAAGGCCTTAGTCATATTTTAATGTCTAGTTAAAAGCTCTTTTAAAAAAAACTTTAAGTCTACTTATCACAAGAAATAGTTCTTTTCTAGACAAATACTTTAAAAAATTTAAAAAGCAGAGTCCCACTAAGGAAATTTAATAGGAAACAAAAACATGTTTGGATAATATTTGAGTATATGATACAAGTTTTTTATATGTGAGCTGGAAAATGTTCAAAGGAATTCACAGATTTTCAAAATTTCTTCCAGAGGGGAAAAAACCTTAAAGAAGATTGAACTAAAGGAACTGTAAAGAGCAGTCTCATTTTAAGTTTGGTGGGTGGGGTTGGGTGGGATGGGGTGGGAAGAGAGGGGAAGGATTAGTTCCTGAAGTTCTTGAATAATCCCATACAAATCCTTGCAGAGACTGGTGGGCATTTAATATACATTTGGTTTGTTTCTGCATTGTGGTAATAACATCAACACAGTTTATATCTTATGTACCAGCCATTTAAAATGATGGGATTCTGGATAAAATACTAATTTTGGAGGGTTTGCATTATTTTAAACATTGCATATGGTGTGAAAACGGTATTATTTTATTGTACTGTTTGCATTTTACATTATTTAATCTATGTATCTTGTGATAACACTATATTTTACCTGCAGTGAGTACCAGGTGTTATCCTCTTTAGAAATTTGGAAGTGGAGACTGAGTTGACTAATGATAAATTGCTTCTTAATTCCAGTGAGGTAGGGGACATCCTATGAAAAGTGGTGATGCTTTAAAGTGTCTCTAGGAAAGCTATGTTGTTCAGTAGCATTAATTTGGCTATGAAGAGTAACAATTCATTTACTTTTTCTTAATGCATTTTTTTAAAGATGTTCTCATTCTGGAGGGGAGAAACGTTTGGAATCTCCTTCTGCTAAAAAATTAACAGATGTAGGAATTAGAAGAATCTTTTCTTCAGAGCACGACATTTTCCGGGAAAGTGTAAGGAAGTTTTTTCAAGAAGAAGTGGTTCCTCATCATTCAGAGTAAGCTCACCTACCTTCATGTTTCAATGTTATATAAAAGCGCCAAATATGAAAATAACTGTTTCCTAGAATGTTGTATATTGTGCAGAAAAATAATGTCAGTGCTTTACTAACATTTTTATTGTTCTTCACCATAATCCTGTAATATCCTAGGATTCTTAAGTTTATAACTTTTTAAATGATTTGCGCTTTTTTTGTTTTGTTTTGTTTTTAAGATAGGTCTCACTGTGTTGCCTAGGCTAGTCTCCTGAATCATGGAAGCAAGTGATCCTCCCTTCTCACCCTCCTGAGAATCTGGGATTACATGAATGTGCCATCATACCTGGTTATCTTAATTTATTTATTTTTCTTCCCCACAGTGCTTAAGATAGAGCCCAGAGCCTTGCCCATGCTGGGTAAGTGCTCTGCCAATGAGCTACATTTTTTTTTCTGTTGTACTGGGGCCTCATATATTCTATATGAGGGCCTCATATATTCTAGACAGGAGTTCTACCATGGGAGCTATATCCCCAGTCTTAAATGAATTTTTAAATGTATAACGTACAATTCAATAGTGAGAATATTAAAAAATTTGAAATTTACTCAAGAAAAGTATTTTTTGAAAACTATGGTTAAGTAGCAGCAAACTGCTAGTCCATTTCATATTCTTTCTTTTTCTGTTTTATGAATGAATTAAAGGAAAGCTCAAAAGGCCAGTGGAGTACAAATCTTCGTAGCTGATCAGCCACTACCTCTGAGCTACATTTCCAGCCCTCTTTAAAACTTTTTTGAGATAGGATCTTGCTGAGTTGCTCAGGCTGGCTTTGACCTTGCAGTTCTCCTGCCCTACTCTCTCCAGTCACTGGAATTACAGACATGTGCCACCATACCCAGGTTTTATATTAATACTTTCTTGGTTATAATGACCAAAATTAGCTAAACTCAGAAGCTGTGACTGGTCTGGTGAAAAGCAATCAGCTTTTTGAAGATAAAAGAAATAAAACATACTTAATTCTAGGAGAGTCTTCTTTTTTCTTTTTCTTTTTCTTTCTTTTTTTTTTTTGTACCAGGGATTGAACCCAATGGCACTTTACCACTGAGCCTCAGTACTATTTTTAATTTCCAAACAAGATCTTGCTAAGTCGTTGCTGAGGGTGACATTAAATTTATGATCCTACTGCCTCAGCCTCTTGAGAATTACAGGTATGCACCACTGTACCTGGCTTCTTTGCTGCTTTTCAATTTTGTTTCACAACTATTGTTGAGAATGCCTTGAAATAAAGATAATAGAGTTGGCAGATTTTGAGTGGAGTACTCAAATAACCCATATCTTACTAACTGAATCTACCACTTAAAAAAAACACAAAAATATTTTCACATTTTTTTCACTATTTCTGACTATCCATGGTTTCCTTACTATGCTATTTCCATTTTTAAAGAAGAAAAGCTAGGGATGGGCCTTTAGCAAGCTTGAGGCCCCCCAGTTGGGTGGGGGTAAGGGAGGAGATGGCACAGTCTTCTCAGAAATTCATTTGACAGATAGATCTATGCTGTAAGGTGCTTCTGCTTTCCTGTCATTCCAATTTAAATGTAATGAGGTGGTTTCCTCATGTCAGCTTTCATATGCTATAAATTCAGGAAAGATGCAGAGAATTGTCTTTACAAGACAGGTTAGGCAGATTCCCATGACTATATGGCATAACTAAGCTTGCATGCTGCCAGCACCAACCAGCAAAACTGTACTCATGAATTTCAGTGGGTGTATTTTATAGGTCGAATAAATAGTGAAGAAAGAAGGCAGAAAGTGCCAAATATGAAGAAGAAAGAAAAAGAAAAAAGAAGGAGAAATGATTAAGTAGAGTCCAGTTACAAATAGAAGGGTATGACCAGTGTGCATAGTTAACCTTAAACCAAGGATGCATTCCTGCACAAAATTATTCAAAGTGTGGCCATTTAAATAATTTGAAAGAAATCTATCTGATTTTTAAATATTTAATTGCAGATGGGAGAAAGCTGGAGAAGTGCCTAGGGAACTCTGGGAAAAGGCTGGAAAACAAGGGCTGCTTGGAGTCAATATTGCAGAGCAGCATGGTGGTATTGGTGGTGACTTGTACTCCACAGCTATTGTTTGGGAAGAGCAGTAAGTATGGAGACATTTGAAGTTGAGTCATGTTTTGAATGTTCATTTTTTTCAAATGATAATAAAAAATGTTTTCTGATCTTCTGGGAAGATTGAAAATTCAGTGTAAAATGTGAAAGATTATGGCACTTATACTATTGTGCATTTCTTTTTTGGGGATGGGTGGATGGAGCTCGTAGCAGGGATTGAACTCAGGGGCACTCAACTGCTGAGCCACATTCCCAGCCCTATTTTATATTTTATTTAGAGACAGGGTCTCACTGAGTGGCTAAGTGCCTCACTAAGTTGCTGAGGCTGGCTTTGAACTCATCCTCCTGCCTCAGCCTCCCAAACTGCTGGAATTATAGGCATGTGCTACTGTACCTGGCTCCTGTGCATTTCTTAAATGTGGGAAATCAGAAAATCCTCTTTTATGTTGTTGAAATAGGTACTGTTGAAAGTTAAAGAGTTAATTTCTGGTTGGCTCATATGGTTATTTTTTCCTTTTACAAAGATATTTTAAAGAGAACAGCAGAATGGAAAATTATTATCAAATACACTAGAAGTCTAATATATAAGAACAAAGGTTTCAGTTAAAATGGACAAAAGATTTGAAGGAACATCTTTATAAAAAATGAGTTAGGTTTTTTTTTGTTTGTTTGTTTGTTTGTTTTTGTAGTTGTAGATGGACTTGTTTATTTTTATGTGGTGCTAAAGACTGAACCCAGTGCCTCACACATGCAAAGCAAGTGCTCTGCCACTGAGCTACAACCCCAGCCCCAATTAGGCTTTTTTAAGTAGAAAAAGTTCGTCCTTACTACCAACCAAAAGTAAATTAAGTTAACCTGGAGGTACCATTATATATATTAAAAAAATTTATGAAAATGAGAATTCTTATCACATAGTGTTGACAAGTGGTAAAAGTGGCATATTCATATACTACTGGTGACATTATAAGGGGATTAAAATGGTAAATATATGTATAAAAAGTAAAAATTTGTTCACTCTGATTTAGAATGGCATTTGGGGGAATTTATCTGAAAAATAATTTAATAGGAAAAAATAGAAGCTATGTTCAGAAATCATTATCATGTTAGATCATAATCCCCAAAATTTTGAAGCAATTTAAATCTGTAACAGTGAGATAATGAATAAGAAAATCATGGGACATAAATAATTTGGAATATTTCTCAGTTTTTTAAGATTATAATAAAAAAAACTAAGTTAAAAAGAGGATTTTTGTTATGTCATATACTTTAAGAAGAAAATAGCAAAGTAAAAAATTCATAGGGACTACATCTACATTAGGATACATCCAAAGATAATTTTCCGTAATAAAAATAGTTGATGTGTTAGGGTTATACAATTGTAGGTGATCAGTAATTTATTTCTTAATTCTTTAAATAATTATTTATTGAGCTGTTAGAACACTGTTACTATTTTAGAACCAACAATAAAAAGAAGAGTAAAAACAACATTCAGGAAGGTCATAGGTTTATGAGGAAACAGGCTGTTTGCACACAACCTACCACACACAATCAAGATCTTTAATACTTTATTGTTCCAATAGTCATTTTTAATTGAAAATTAAAGACACTAAGAGTAGAACAAAATAACTATCTTATGTTTTTAATACTTTTTTTTCTTTTTAAGAGCATATTCAAATTGTACAGGGCCAGGTTTTAGTCTTCATTCAGATATCGTCATGCCTTATATTGCCAACTATGGCTCAAAAGAACAGATTGAGCACTTCATCCCCCAGATGACGGCAGGCAAATGTATTGGTGCCATAGCAATGACAGAGCCTGGTGCTGGAAGGTAAGTCAACCTTCTTTTGGTTTTAAATTCTTGGAAGCAGTGCCCTAATAACAAACATTTTCTTAGTATGTTTGGCTCTCCATATTTGTCAGTTCTGCAACCGTGAATTCAAATGACCTCAAATCAGAAATACTCAAAAAAAGAAAAAAATTGTGTCTGTACTGAACATGTACTTTTTTCTTGCTACTGAGCTACAACCCCAGCCCTTTTTATTTTTTATTTTGAGACATGATGTTGCTAAAAAAATTGCCCATGCTGGCCTCAAACTTGCAATCCTCCTACCTCTGCCTCCTGAGTAGCTGGTATTACAGTAGCCCAGCAGAAAAGTCTTTACTTTAATAACTAAAATTTAAGGTAAATACTCAAAGAGAATACCTTAGTTTCCTGTGGCTTCTGTAGCAAACTACCACCAAAGTTTATGACTTAAACAACAGAAGTGGATTCTTTAAACAATTTGGAAGGCCCAAAATCCAAAATCAGTATCATTGGGCCCCAAATTAGTTATCAGGAGAGCCAAGCATCCTCCAGAGGGCATAGAGAAGAATTTACTCCTTGTGTTTCTATCTCCTGGTGGCTCCTGGTGTTCCTTGGCTTATTGCCTTTGTGACCACATTGCTTTCTCCTTTTCTGTTTATGGAATCTTCCTCTCTTAGTCTTTCTCTCCTAAGGACATTTGTGATTACATTTACAGGTCATCCAGATAATTCACTATAATCTTCCCATCTCAACATCCTTAAGTTATACTTTTCCATATAAAGCCACATTTATAGATTTTAGGGATTACAACCTGATATTTTAGGGGTCATTATTCATCCAAATAAAGAGTTATAAAAAATAAAATGTGTCCTGGAGTATAAAAATATAAAGACCACATAGAAGAAGAATCAGAAAAATTTCACAATATATGTGGACTATTTATTTATAATGCTAATCACTGTAGGTTTTTGAAACCTAAATTTCTAACAATAGAGGATTGTTAGTTAAAAATCATGGTAAATTCACATGATGATATTCTATGTAGATAAAAAAAAACATTGGATATTATTATGTATGGTTCCAATTTTACATATGTACATTTATAGGTGTATCTAAATCTATGGAAAAATAATTGCAAGGATGTATTTTTAAAATGTTCAGGAGATAAATTCATTTGTTAAATAAATTTTCTTTGGAATACTTTCTATATTTCTTTATATTTTAATTAAAATACTGTTTAGATTTTTAAAAAATTCTACTTTTAGAGCAAGTTTGTTACAAAAAAAACCCAGCATTTTAGATGTAGTCCTTTTTTTTGGCAGTATTTGTTTTTGGGTATTGAATACCGGGTCTTATATATGCTAGGTCAGCACTTTACCACTGAAGTACAACCTCAGCTATTTTTTAATTTTAAAACAGAATCTCGCTATATTGTGATCCTTCTGCCTCAGGGTTCCAAATAGCTAGGATTACAGGAGTGTGCCAGCACATCTGGTGAGAAATAGTATTTTTAATAGCTAAATTCTTGATGAGAAGAAGTAGAGGAAGGAACCAAAGTATGTAAAGGTAGGTAAAATATATTGTGATAACAGAATTTCAAGAGTGAGCCAATTTGTGGTTTTGAGCATTGTTGGGCTTTTATGTATTCTATGAAGTCTGGCTAATTTATTTAATTTTTGTTTTTTTGCTGTGCTGGGAATCAAACCCAGGGCCTTGATATGCTAGGCAAGTGCTCTACTACTGAGCCACATCTCCAGCCCAAGGTTATTTAATCTTAATCATACATTCATTCATAGAATGACTAGAATATAATATATTAGACATGATTTTTTTAGTTCAATTGTGTGAACATTTCTTACATTAAGATTTTTATAATGGCATATCCAGTTTGAATGATCACATTGTATATATACTTATATAATAGCATTTGTCTAATTTCTTTTTTACCAACTGATGAATTTTTTTATCTTTTCTTTCAATTACAGTGACTTACAAGGAGTAAGAACAAATGCCAAAAAGGATGGAAGTGATTGGATTCTCAATGGAAGCAAGGTGTGTAAAGAGGGACTTCTCTGACCCTTCTTTCCAGAGTCATGCCATGGGTAATGATGTTATTATGTAAGGATTCACTTAGGAATTGTTTACTTAAGTATTTGTGAGGTGGAGAGAAATTTACAAGTTATTTACATGACACAAGATCTATGGTAACCCATCTGTGTTCTATGCTGCATATGTTCTTAAAAATACCTCAAAGGTGGTTTTAGCTTCCAAACAGCTCTTCTCAAAAAAGAGAAAAGTGGGAAAGTTAGGTTTATATTACCCCAACATGGGACAGACAATAGCTGAACTTTATGAAAGACTGGGGAAAAAGCTTTCTGATAAATATCAAAAAGAGTTTGAAAGATACCAGATCATAGAATCCTTTTCAATCCTATGTACAGATTTAGAGAGCTCCTCTAAACAGGATCACAGATGGTTCAAGAGCAAACATATCTCTTAGAACTTAATATCGTTCAGGGAAAATGATACCTAGAATTATGTCTGGTGAAGTCTTGTTGAAAATATGTTCCAGGGTCTGTTGAAGGTGAGTTTTTCTGTGTTATTTTTATAACTGGTGCTGGGGGTTCCAGGGCCTCATACATGCTAAGTATGTCCTCTGGTACTGAGTTATGTCCCCAGCCCTATTTTCTTCACTAAAATTTTTTTTTTTATTTCCAGTTAGTTTTAGTCTAATACATTTTTCCTTTTTTTTTTTTTTTGTAGTACTGGGAATCAAACCTCTGACTTCACACTTGCAGGGCAGGCATTCTGCCACTGAACTCCAATGAGCTATATATCTCCAGCCCAGGCTGATACCTTTATATTTACAAAGTCAAATATAATCATAGCACTGTCAAATTCCTAAAAGTTTCTAAATGATCTCAATTTCTGTACTTATATTATCAGAGACTGGTAACAATTGTGAACCAACATCAGACTGCAGACCAAATTTTGAGCAACCGAGTTCTAAGTAACATTCCATAATCAAGTTTTATAATTACTATGCAGAAAAATAATATCTGTGCTATTAAATAAATTTGGAAAGTGTGCATAACTTCTCTTTGATATGCTGATGTACATTATGAATCTCTAAAAATTGGATACAGTATGTTTTGTATCCTAGGAAATTTTCTTTTTATAGAATGTTAAGAATCACTGATTTATTCAAATATACTTTAAGAGATTTAGTCTAAATTATTCATCCTAAGGATAAGAAACAGGTGATAATTTCAATATATAATCAGTTAATACCCTGCATACAGAAAGCTGTTTTGAAAGAAAAGTGGGGTATTTGATCAAAAGTAGAATGGGAACCATATTTTGTTATGACTGGATTTCTAAGCAGGCCCAGTCTGCTTAGTTACAGTCTTCTGTGGGAACTACTTAGGAAAGATACCACTGACTGTTTCAAAAACTGCATTAGGAATAGTAAAAAGGTACAAAACAAGTAAAAGTGAAAAAATGAGTAAGCTCATACAGTACATTAGAACTAATATGCAGTCACTAAAATGACAACACTGTTTTTTAAGTATATATTATTGTTATGTAACATTAAGTGAATAAACAGAATTCAGATATAGAATAATTTTAATAATAAGAAAAGAGATGAGAAAGGAAATTCCTAATGGTACTTATATTATGGACTCTGAAGATTTTTTCTTTCTTTATAACTACATCCTATCTATATAGCATCTACAATGAGCTATATTATACTATTAGCATTTGATTAAAAAATTACATCTCTCATTACAAATAATGCCAGTCCTTTTTGAATTTTTGATTTTCATAATTAGGAAATAAATAAAAAAGGCCACCAACAAGAATTATCTTACAACTTTCTTAGGAAGGGAATGAGTCATGATGCAAATACTCATATGAGGTTAGGTGACTGTACAAATGGTTCAGAATCTATTCATCCTCTTCTGAAATTACTTCCAAAAATAACTTTTGGAAACTTTACTTGATTTTACCAATCTGAGATCAGAGTATACAAGTGAATAGTTTCTGCCCTATGAACTGTTCCTTTTTTTCTATTCCATTGTTTATTTTTAGAATATTTAGTTTTCAACTCCTGGATTTGAAACAAACAAAAAATTACTCAACTATGTCAACTACATCAAATGGTTACTATTATTGTAGAAAGATAGGAAAATTTGGAGAACTTGGATAGTAATAAGGAAGTGATGGAGCTACATTGTTGAAAACAACAGTTTTCCCATCATTTATAGAATCCTTTTGGAGAATGTATGTTTCAAAATATATTCAAAGAACATCTCTGAAGGCCTCTTATATGCCAAAAACTACTAGCTGAGGATAGACATATTAATAAGAAATGGCCAGGCATCCTAGTAGGGAGGGATGAGTGTCTTTTATTTTTGTGTCACAACAATCACACCACGACTGCCTTCGTTTACAACAATATAATTTTCTCATTTCCCATTATTTGAATACATCAGCACTATGCATTTTAGAGCACAGATCTTATAAAGCCATGGACATTAATTGATAAGAATAAACATCACCATTCTATGCCCCTAATACTTTGTAGAGAGAAATAAAAGCAGATCATTTGAGTAAGTCTGATAAACACTAAGATGCTGGGTAAATTGATGGTGCTATTGGAGCACTTAGCTAAGCTGGGGAATTTAGAAGACTTTTTGAAAGATATGATGCCTGAACTCAGTCCAAGATGAGTAGAATTCATCCTAGCTGAATTTATTCTGTAGCATCTTAGGAGCTATACAAAAGTTCTTAAGTGTGAAGGTGATAGGATTAGGTTGCCCTTTAGAAAGATCCCTTTGGTTTTATGATGGATTATAGAACTACAGAGGGTTCGATTGTAGCAACTTGTGCAAGAAATGATAAGAACCAGAAAGAAGGTAATGATAATAGAAGTAAAAGGAGGGGAATAGATTTTTAAAGTTTTAAAACGGATTAGAAAGAATTGGATTCTGAGGGGCTGAGGTTGTAGCTTAGTGGTAAAGCATTTGCCCAGCTGGTGTGAGGCACTGGGTTCAATCCTTAACACCACTTGAAAGCAAATGAAATAAAGATATTGTGCCCATCTACAACTTAAAATAAAGAAAAAGAAAAAAGAACCGGGTGTCAAGTTAAATGTGAAGCAAGATGATAGCATGATTTATTGAAACATTCATTGAAATAGGGAAACAGGTTGGCATTCAAGATTGGATAGGAATTTGGAATAGGAAGGCATGTGTTCTACCCAGGAGTCTCCAGGTGGAACTGTCCAAAAGCAGATAGGTATAAAGGTCTAGATCCTATCAATAAATATGTTTTAAATAAAGATTTGGCTTCATTAGCATGTAGTGAATGACTAAAGTGAAGAAAGTGGTTGAGATGATCCAGGAAAGATGTAGAATGAGGAGATAATTATTAATATTTTCCCTGGTTATATTTTGTTTTCTGAATCAATATCTTTGAATATTTAGTTATTTTTTTCCTTAATTATTATCTCTTCCTTCTTTAGGCTATTTTTTAAAAAGTAGTCTATCTATTAAAAAACATAAAAATTAGGCTTTTTCAAGAAGTGATAAATCTGGGAGTATAGATATTTAATAGTGTAATGCCAGTTAGAGCAGATTTCCTTTTCTAATGGGTGGCTTCCCTCTGAAATTCAGTGTATCATTTTAATAGACAATTTGGTTTATTATAAAAAACACAATCTCTTCAAATTGTTGTTAATATTTATAATATTAAGAAAATGCAGGGGCTCCGTGATGGAGTACTCCCCTAGCATGCCTGAAGCACTGGGTTTGATCCTCAGCACCACATAAATATAAAATAAAGATATTGTGTCCACTTCAAACTAAAAAATAAATATTAAAAAAAAGAAAATGCATATGCTTCATTCTTTGAAGCATTGGATGATTTTTCCTCTGCTCTTTAACAACCTCATATATGAATAATCAACCCTGAATGTATTGATATGTAGAGAGAGGCATGAAGTATGTTCTGCTTGTTCTAGTCTTCTTGAATGTGCTCTCCCTCAATCATAACTTGAACATGGACCTCAATATTGCAGAGCGTTGTAGTGTACTTGGGTTTTTACAGGTATTCATCACTAACGGCTGGCTAAGTGATGTTGTGATTGTAGTCGCAATCACAAATCGTGAAGCTCGCTCTCCCGCCCATGGCATTAGCCTTTTTCTGGTAGAAAATGGAATGAAAGGATTTATTAAAGGACGGAAGCTACATAAAATGGGATTAAAAGCCCAGGTAAGTCATGGTATAAATTTTATTCAGATAATAACTGAGGTTATTATCATTGAAAATAAGATATATAGAGAATTACATGTGGTACAATCACAACTGCCTATCTGAATTTCTAAAATGTTTTTCAAAAATGGTAGTGGAGATTCATTTTCAGTAATGCCACTATATCTCTTTCTAGTATTCAGCAGTGGGAATGAATTAGGATATTTTGAAAATCTGATTTAGAAATGGCAAAATTAGAGCTGAACATGGTGGCACATGCCTGTAATCCTAGTTGCTCAGAAGGCTGAGGCAGGATTACGAGTTTGAGGCCAACCTGGGCAACTTGATAATACCCTGTCTCAAAATTTAAAAAACGAAGAAAAAAAGGACTGGGAGTATAGCTCAGTGGGCATGCACAAAACCCTGGATTCAGTCCCCAGATTTATTTTAAAAAAAAAGGAAATGGAAAAATTAACTGCATGCTTTAATAAACCATCTATATGAAAATTACTGAAGAAAATTATGAAGAACAGAAAATATTTTTCTATACACTACCAAAGAAAATGTTTTGCTTAATAAGTATTAGAAATTTCCACTTCGCAGTTCCTAGAAAGCTGGACAGTATTAGAGCTTGAATGACAGGGTATTGCAGTGGGAAAACCATAGTTTTAGAATTAGAAGGACCTGGATTTGAAATCCTTGTTTTACCCCTTACTACTTATGTTCACTAACCACTCCTACATGGCTTCTAATTTGGTTGTTTTTTTGTTTTTAATAAGTCTCTTCACTGGGTTATAATGAAACATAAATGACCTCATTCACTAGTCAATTGTACGGTCTTTTAGGATACTGCAGAACTGTTTTTTGAAGATGTCCGATTGCCAGCTAGTGCCTTACTTGGAGAAGAGAATAAAGGCTTCTACTATCTCATGCAAGAGCTTCCACAGGTCAGAAATGTTTGAAGAGTCCATCTATTGATTAGATATTGGACTGGAGTAGAATAATGTAGAACTATCTAAATTAATGTGTGTAGAACTTGTGGAAAAACAGTCATTTGCATATAAAGTTATAAAAGAGAGCATGAATGTTACAGGCGAGATAAATAAATAACTGAACTCAAAAATATCTAACTGAAGCTTATAAAGTGAATAGGGAAATTAGGTATTTAGTTCTGTGATGCCTTCTTGAAATGATTTCCACTCCTTAACTACAAGTCAAAAACTTATCTCTTTGAGGAAAAAAAAAAAGAACTTAGTTCTTTGTAAGGAAATGTCACTGAATACATTTGGCAGTTTTTAAATAACTGGAATCAAAGGGAAAATGTGTTAAGTTCAGACAGAAGAGTTTTGTCACATAGAGTAAGTATCCATATCTGTGTTTTGGGAATGTGGCTGCCTAGTGATCATTGAGTCTCACATGTCAGCTTAAGGGGATACCTTTGCCTGTTGACTGCATGGCATGGGCTAAATTTGTAATTGGGGAAAAAGAGGTAGGGATACTGGCACTTAAATAGAATATGAAAATCATTAGCATGATGAATTAAGCTGGTTAAAGTTGCTTGTACTAATAGATAGAATTTATGCTATGCACTTTAAAATGTTGATTTCCATGGATAAATTAAGTTATACAGTGCCCAGGGATCAAAAAATAAAAGTCAACTATGGAATTCCTTTACTCATGTGAGTAAAGAGAAAACTTAAATAAATTACATACACGTGCATGTATATATGTGTACACATATATATATATGTTTATATGTATGTGTATAAGTATATAAATATGTATATATATGTGTGTGTATATAAAATAAAGCCAGTCATTCATAAAAAAAAGGATTTGCTCTAGAGCTTTGGAAAATTATTTTTAAGATACATCAAAATAATCTCAAATCTCTGTGGGAGCCTTTTCTTATAAAGAGTTAAGAAATAAGTTAATCTTTAGCAGATTGTTTATAGGATTTATTAGAATTGAAATTGTCTGAAAGTCATTTGTGTAATTACAATAATGTTTAAGACTTAATTTTGGGGTTATAGGAAAGGCTGTTAATTGCTGACTTGGCAATTTCAGCCTGTGAATTTATGTTTGAAGAAACCAGGAACTATGTTAAACAACGAAAAGCTTTTGGGAAAACGGTTGCACACATACAGGTAAGCTTATTGTTCTTGTTATGATTTAGCATTAGATGATATCATTTTACTCATCTGAGCATTCCAAATTTTGAACCCTTTAGTTTCTTCCTAAATGAAGGAACAGTGTAAAGCAATGTGGTCATCAGCATCCCACTAGCAAGAAAACTTGAGTTGGGATTCTACCTTTAAATTTTTTAAGTAAAATGATTTTGGCTGGAAGACTTTGTGGAGAGGTAGAGATGAAGCATGGGGATGGTGTTTCATTACAAAGATAATGCTCAGTGTGGTTTAAGTCCTGCATAGCTCCTGATATCTTTATAGTCAACGTGAGTTATGTCTTCTTTCTCAAATATTTTCCTGTTTGTGAGACATGTAAAATATATTTGGTATATAAAATTGTAAGGTTTTACAATTTCAAAATCTTAAGATTTGTTAGATTTATAATATTTACTCACAAATAGAAATATCTTCTTATTTATGAATAAAGTCAGTAGCTACCTCATAAGATTACTGTAGAGGATTCAGTGGGATATAATACACATATAGTGTGTAGAATATTGCCTGGAAAAACTAGCCCTCAATGAAGTTAGCTGTTATTTTTGCCCCTATGTAATGCTTTGCTGTTTTGTTTCCATATAGGGGGCTTTTTTTTTTTTTTAAATAAATCAATTTCTTGGTCTTGCTTCTGTTCCTGATGTGGACCTTCTATATATCTTTCTGGGAACTATTTGCTACCTATGTAATCTTCAAGTTATATTTTTTCCATACTGAGAAAAATATTACATCTTATCTTATTGAAATGCTAGCCTAAAACAGTTGTTCAGATCTATACAAATGAGGCATACATGCAAATCAAAATTACAATTTAAAAAACGGCGTGACTTGATTTAGATAAATTGTGATTTTCTTAGGAACAAGGCTGTTGTATTTTATATTCCCTTTCATTTTTGAATCACTGATTTGCTTTTCTGTGGTTCCTTGATGACTGCGCTCTCCCCTAGGGCATTTAGAAAGGTCAAGGATGGGCAGATGCATGTTGACTGAAAGTGTAACGTGCTATACCTTGGAGAGCAGTGTTGTTAAATGTTCTGTAAATCAGACATAGCTTTGTATTGCAACTAATTTTCTTATTCAAAATACAAATAATCTCCTGAGAAGTACCAATTTATTGATTTATTTCTTTTTGTTTCACAAGCACATAGTTACCCATTGCCTTGTAAGGTTGTGCTCAAATGTAATTCTATAGGTGTGACTCTGGAATACTCAAAACTCCTGGCAATATGAAGGAAGTTATACCACTTGGTATCACTCTGCAGCTTTTTCCTGTGTACCCAAAGTAGAATCAGTATTATTATTCCTCTGAAATTCAACTCCCACAACTTTTCACATCAAAAATGTCTATTAAAATATTTTTACACAATTAGGCCTAAGTCATGTTTTGCTAGCAGCAGCCTCCTGCACCTCCTATTTGATTGCATCAAGAGGCTGTGTCATGCCACCTACCCATCCCATCTGGATTTGTTTAAGTACACTCTGTGATTGTCACACATCCATGAAAGTGCTTAAGGGCATATTTCTCAGAATGTGTCCCCATTGTTAAGCAATGTGTGACTGTATTTATTTATTGCACTTTCATAGCAAAAAGGCAAGAAATAGTTTTAATCCCTGCTTTTCAAAACAAGTGTCATTTGTTACCTTCCCCAAAAGATAGTTCACTAAATTTTCAGTAGGTGGCAGTAGGCTTCTGCTTCTACAGATTCATTATTATTTTCTAGTAATATTATTTTCCAGTAAGTGTATATGTTCTGAGATATTCTGAGCTATGCTCTAATCTTCCCGTTTCTCTAAAATAAGTATCTTTGAATAGAATTTTCATATTTCCAGCTAGGAATATATGCAGAGAAGATGAATGGCTAATACATCAATACATTTCTATATCTCCTATTCTATAGCTGAACACACTACAATTGTAATTCAGCTGAAGTGGAAGATGATTACATCTCCATATAATTGATTAAATGTTATTTTATGACCATATAACTATTGAGTTTCACTTATCTTTAATATCCTTGAATTTTGAACATTTTGGGCCTTTCTGAACTTTTGGGTACATGTCACAAAATTCACTTCTTTTTTAGAATAAACAGTTACTATTCTAAAGTAGCAGTAATTATAGGATTTTCATTTTTTAAAAAAATCTGTACTCTTCTTAGGTGATATCACAGCTCATGATTTTCTCTGGAATAGACAATACAGTAGTAAAATGTATGTTAAATTAAAAAAAAAATGGCTACCTATATGCCAGACACTGTGCTAAATAAATTGTCTCATTTTTTTGCCTTCGCAACTGTACATTATTAATATTATCATCTTCATTTTGCAGATAGGGAACTTGAGGCAGAAAAAGGTTAAATAACTTGCCCCAAATTATATAGATATCTAATTCCCCAACCCACACTCTTTTTGCTGCCCAAGGTTTAAAGTATATGGCCCTTTTTATTTTTCCTATTTCCTTCACCTACTGGTTGGCCAAATGAAAATGAAATGCCCTTTTTTTTAAACTAGAGCTCTTAGTCATTTCCTGTGTGGAACATGCTGTTGATGCTAAGGACACCAAATATTTGGGAAAGGAATAGGAGAGAGGAAAGGTAACTTGTTTTTCTTCCACAAATCAAAAAGAATATCCTGTTCCTAAGTCCTTGAGTATATGATTAATTAACTATAAGATTAGGTGGTGAACATAATTTGTTTTATATTAATTTAAGTCATAACATAATTTGTTTTATCTTAATTTAAGTCATAACATATGATGATAATACAACTAACAGTGTTCAAATGACTACTGGGCTAGAGAACTTTTCAAATGTGTCTTCTCATTCTAAAGTTCTAAGATATTTATCATGCAGAACTCTGAAAGACATTCTATCCAGTCTACTTAGTAACTTAAGAACTTTTTTACATGCTAGCTGCAGTATTACCTATTAGCAAATTTTAATGACAGATAAAGATACTGCTGAGAACATGTTGATCCTTCAAAAAAAACACCTGGCTAATTATATAGTTATGAACTGCCATTCATTAGGGTATAATTTCAGACAGCATGACTCATTGTCTACAGTGAAAAGCAAAGGACAGTTCTGTTTGGTAGCACCTAATTCAGTGCCAAGAATATGTAAATATTTAATCTCTTCATCTGTAGAGAGTAAATGATGTACCCTAGAAGCATGAATTTTTTCAGAAATCTCTGGACCTCACCAGATGTACTGAAGCAAGAATTCTAAATGACTCCATCCTTGTCTGAAATTTAACTTAAGCGTCTAGAATCTCCCAGCATTTGCATAGGAACAAGTCTCACTTGAGAGAATAGGACTCAGAGGTCTTGATTATCTCATAATGTAAATAGTGCATAAATTTTCAAATGTGGCATCATGTAGGGGCAAGAATATTTTGAGACTTATTATATTCCCTTTGCTTTCCAAATGAAATATCATAGATAATGTCCTTGAACTAAGCCAGGAGTGATCAGTTTTGGGGATTTTTGTGGAATATTTACTCATGTGTTTCCAATATATAGAGAAGATTATTTCCTCACTGTTGATGTCTTGTTCTAGTTTTAGTTTTCTATGAGCAAATTTGAATATGAAGAGTGAATGGGAAACTTTGTTCTGATTTAAAGGTAGAGATTTGACCTAATTAAATATTTAGTTAATAGAAATGGAGATAGAAAGAAGTAGAATGGAGATAGAACTAGAGGGGAATCAAGTTTTGACACAGGCCAGCCTGTTGAGATAATTAAGGCAAGGATCTACGCAAAAGTTGTGTGTGGTGTCAGCCTTCTCATTGCTTGGTTTTGGAATCAGTAGATGCCTGTTATACTCTGTCTTTCTAGAGTAGCATTAGGGATAAAACTAAGGAAAAACTATCAGTTGGGTTTTTGATCAGCACAGCAGTTCCATCTAAGAAGAAACTGTTCCTCAATGCTCCTACTTCACCTGGCATACCCATATCTTTCCTTGTCCTAGGTCATTATTATATGCTCATTCTTTGATTTTTCAGAAATGAAAAGTACCAAAATTGTCTCCACGATCAATAACACTGAAAGATTCAATTTTGTGTTTTGACAGTTACTATAGCCAGCAGTGTAAAAGCAGGCCCAGCATCCCATGCGAATTTAGCCCCACAACCCTCCTTTGAGAACTTAGTCATGGCTTTGGCCTTAGCAGTAGTATTTAGGTGGAATGCTTTTAATTTCTAATTTGAGTTTCATTGTATCACTTTTGTCATTAACTTCCACATATGTGCCTTCTATTAGCTGGAGAGAATTTCTCCGAAATTCCACAACAGAATGATCAGAATTATTTCTATCTGGATTTCCACAAAGAAAACAGAGCCAGCTAACTGGCTGGATCTCAGGCCTAAGAAGTCAGCTAGAATAGGATGTACTTTTGGAGGCAACCCAAAGTAGAATGTGCCAGTATTTCAAGTCCTAGCCAGTTTCCTGAGAGTGGATGCCAGAGTGAACAGATTAAACTCAAAGTTCAAGATATGAGAACCAAAATCAAGAATTAAATGAAACCTGATTGAAGGGAGAACTGTCAGGATCAATTGAGGATTGTCTAAGTAGAACAATTTCCAACAATACTATTGGTTGTCCATGGTTAGCAGTTAGGTACATAACATATTAACACTGACAATTTCAAACCATTCAGTTTATTAGCAAATAATATATGGTGTGATAATTTCAAATCATGTGTTCATTCTTTCCCCAAAATCTTTCACCCAGTGGTTTTAGCATTCACTGATGATTTTTGCCTGAAACAGTTTCAAAATGGTGGTTTTCTAATTCTACCATTGCTTCCATATTTATTAGCTGTTGTTTTTCTACAAAGAAGAAATTGAGATGCTAGACAAACTCTTGAGAGGGATGGGAGGGAGTGTGAGGAGAGGTGGGAGAGTTATAGGTTATTAGACTTTGATCTCTTGAGTGCTCTGATTATTACATTATTAATATTATAAATGGTTATTAATATAATATTTAGATGCTATTTATAAATATATAAAACACCCTGCCCTTCCCCATTGTTACCTTACTTTATTCCAAGACAGAGGCAGAATAGGGAAATGTGTATACTTAATTTCATTAATGGAGAGTAAATTTTCAAGGATTTAGTTTCTGGAGGAAAATCAACAGCTGTACCTAAAGGACTATACCACAAGATGGTGCTCACACATTAAAGTCATGCTGGTTGGTTTTCAAGCAGTTTTCTTTAATGGTCTAAATTTTATAATCTAAAACATGAGATGTAATTTATGTATTCATTTTTGCATCTTTTAGTACATGTTTTCTTAGCATTAAAATATACTATATTTTGAATTTAAGGTGATTAATATATTCTTTTTTAAAATAGTAAAACCAATAATTCCATTTTTTTTGTTTTGTTCTAAAAATCTTTTGCTATATACTTTTTGAAATGTGGAGTCAAAATATGTACTTTTATATGCTCAATTTTTTTTTTCATTTTCTTTAAACTCAAGACAGTGCAGCATAAACTAGCAGAATTAAAAACACACATATGTGTAACCAGATCTTTTGTGGACAGCTGTCTGAAGCTACATGAAACGAAACATCTGGATTCTGCCTCTGCTTCTATGGCGAAATATTGGTATGCATGCTGCAGTAATTAAAATGTGGTGCTTGCTCAGACTGTTATGGAATTTTGCCATTAAACTCAGCCTTGAGGGTATTAAGGAAGAAGGCTGTATAAATGAAAAATAGCAGTAGGAATCAACTTTTAAAACTGCTGAAACTTCCCATTAGGCCTATTTCTAATATGCTAAAAATTACTCAAGTTGTTAATTTATAACTTTCTATTCAAAATAAAGTATTAAGAGACTGAAGTAGAATGACTAAGATTACTTCATTCAAGTAATAGTTTAATTTCAAATTATCTGACAAGTGACATACAGTGAGGCTGCAAGAGAAAAGCAAAACTTAGGAGTCTTGGAATTGATTCTCAGTTCTTCCATTTGGTAATTTTAACTAAGTTAATTTCATTTGGGATAGTTTCTTGTTATTTGCAAAATAAAATCCAGGATTTTTATAAAATATCTTTTTTAAATGCCTTTATAAAATGTCTTTTTCCTCCAAAGATGTCACTTCCTACCTGAAGATCACAATTCTGAATTTTAATAACTGTGAAATAAGTTTTTTAGGGTTTTGACTTTTCAGAAATAAACTGGGGATAAAAGTGAAAAACTAAAGGGTAGACTAGTAAAGTACATTTAAAGTACCTGGATGGGATTTTTCTGTTTCGGTTATTTTTCATATCTTAAAAAGAAGTATTGAATTATTAACTAATCAAAAGTTGTACATGTTTTATTAAAATGAAAGGGAAAAAGTTTTACATTTAGAAAGATTTATAAGAATTTAAGATTAACAGTGATGTTAAAGATAAGTTAATTGAAAAACAACCCCTTTCAAGGCTTTTGTGTATGTTAAGATGCAAGAATATGGCTGGGGTTGTGGCTCAGAGGTAGAATGCTCACCTAGCATGTGTAAGGCCATGGGTTCCATTTTCAGCACCACATAAAAATAAATAAATAAAATAAAGGTATTATGTCCAACTACAACTAAAAAAATAAATATTAAAAAAAGATGCAAGAATATATAATCTAAATTAGATTGTAGAAGTGAATTTGGTTTCCTCTTTTTGAAAACATTCTCACAGCTCATTAGTCCCAAAGTAGACTAGAAAAAATTCTTGTCATTCATTAACGTGGGTTCAGTTTAGTCATAAATAGAATAGGGGAAATATGTAGAATAGTGCCTTATATAATGATTCCTTAATAATAAAATTGTTGAATTGAAAAATGTGGAATTACTAGGAACTTGCACTTTTAGGGAGACTTTTACATTTATAACAAGTTCTTTGACTAGAGGGAAAAGTAAAAAAAAAATTAGTTATTTTTGGGAAAATAGAAATTTGCATAGGTGTTGACCTTGGTCTTTGAATCCAGCAGGTTTATAATGATATTTAACATTGAAGCAGAAAGAGCAAGTTATTATAGCCCAGCCAATATTTCCATTAAAATATTTGCCAAATAAAAAAAATTGAATCACAAATATTATTGCCCCAAGAGATTTGTCTGTTAATCATTATATTGTTAATGTATTTCTAAGGAACACAATCACCTGTCCTATGGCTTGAGTTAAAAATTATTCTAAATAGTAAAATGTGTCTATGTTTAACTTTACTTTGTATTTCCCACTATTGAAAAATAAGCAGGAACAAATTTTAAATAGCTTACATTTTTGTTTTAAGTGGCATAAAATTCCTACAGGTTATCTGATGGATTTTTATGATAGTTAAAATTGTTACTGGGTAGACTCCGTAGTAGTAGCTCTTTCTTACCTAGCATGCTTGAGGCTCTGTGTTCCATCCTCAGCCATGTGCAACAAACAAAATTGTTGTGGTAAGATCAGAAAATACTTTTTCCCAAGTTTTTCATATTCATTTTTTTCTCTCTTCCTCTCCCACCTTCTTCTCTACCTCCAGAAATAAAAATCCCCAAATAATTTTTTTTGGGGGGGTGGTATGGAGATAGAATTCAGGGGCATTGACTAATGAGCCACATCCCCAACCCTATTTCGCATTTGATTTAGAGACTGAGTTGCTTAGCACCTCGAAGTTGCTGAGGCTGGCTTCAAACTCAAGATCCTTCTGCCTCAGCCTCCCGAGCTGCTGGGATTACAATTATGCCCCACCACGCCTGGTCCCAAATAATTTTTTAATGTTTCCTTTAAAACATTAAATGTACTTTTCTAGTCTACCTTTTTAGTTTTTCACTTTTATCCCCAGGTTATTTCTGAAAAGTCAGAACCCTAAAAAACTTATTTCACAGTTATTAAAATTCAGAATTGTGATCTTCAGGGAGGAAGTGACGTTTTTGGAGGAAAAAGACATTTTATAAAGGCAAAAAGAACTAGATAATTGAATAATGTAGATCATACAGAGTATCTGCATGAATCAGACTTAATTCAAGTCTTTACTATATCCTTTTAAGCCAAAAAATAGCCAAAACCTAATAATATGAGTTTTCCACATTTGTTTCTAACCTCAATAAAAAACCAGCCAGAAATAAAATCGTGGGTTGTATTTTTTATGTGAAAATTCTCTTTATTTCCTGTGTAATTTTTATCCTCTGTTCTGCTTGTCTAATGGTTCTATTTGAATTGCTTGAATAAGTGAGTGCATTTAAACAATTATAAATAGTTCATTTCCTGATTATAAAGCACCTCATGGAAATCCCCTTCAAACATTTCTGTTTTTATGTCGGTCATCTAGGGCATCAGACTTACAAAACAGCGTTGCTTATGAATGTGTACAGCTCCATGGAGGCTGGGGATACATGTGGGAGTACCCAATTGCAAAGTGAGTACATTTGCTCTGTTATTCTCCTCTTAATCACATGAATGAAAGAAAATTTTACTGTAGTATTTGTACATAAAATATAGAGGGAAAGAAGGTATGAAATCTTGGCATTTTTCAACTATCTAGGGAGATGTTCACTCAAATGGAAGTAGCTTTCTTTTATTGACTCACCACTAGGATCTTGATATTTTTAAAGAAAGTGAAGAGGCTAATATACTGAAGCTTGATACTTGTCTTTGAAGGAAATCTATTACTTTTTAATTTATTTTAATTTGTTGTGCGTCCATCGTGCTGGGGATCAAACCTTGCCCATGCCAGGCAAGCATTCTACCACTGAGCTACACTCCCTGCTGCTTTTAAAAAACAAACAAATGCAGTACAAATAATTAACTTGCATACTGAAAGGATCTAAGATGTCATATTTTAGTCAGGTGTGGTGGCACATACCTGTAATCACAGCAACTTGGAAGTTGAGGCAGGAGGATCACAAGTTCAAGGCCAGCCTCAGTGATTTAAGGAGAACCCTCCTCAAAATAAAGTCTGGGGATGTAATGCAGTGGTACATTTAACCTGGGTTAAATCCCAGTACAAAAAAAAAAAAAAAAAAAGATTTCATACCTTAATTAGTTGATTCTTTATTTTGCTCTGAAAAATAAACCAAATGTATTTGACTTTTTTACAGATTGAATTTTTACCTCTTTAAATTAAAGGAGATAATATATATGTTTTTATTGTATTACACATGACTACTCTTAGCTTGAGACAGTATCATTTGTAAGTAGGCAGTATTTTATTCCAGATTTTTTCCCTCTATCTCCATAATTTCTTTTCTTCATCTGTGGTCTTCTACCTCTCATTACACTTCTCATTATACTAGAAAATGTATTTTTCCTTTTATTAATGGTATTTTCAGTACATAAAATTTTTCCAAGGAAGTTTTTGGTATACATAGAAAAGTCCAATATAGTTGTGAATATGAGAATTAGAATGCTTTGGGCTTCTAAAAATTTTTTCTAATTTTTATCTGAAGGGGGAAAATTATCAAACTGGTATTCAATCTGTCAGCCTAATGTTTTTTAATTTATCGTTTTGACAAGTATACTTGGAAACATTTGATATGCCTAGAATCATTATTGAGGAAACATTTTATTAAGTTTCATTAAGTTAAGAACAGAAGCTTCAGCCTAGATAATGATTTGCTGATTTTCTCTAGTCATTGGGCAGTTCAGAAAGCTTTGATTACTAAGTATATATAATTTATAACTATTTATGGGAATTTAGCAACAACCAGAGGTTGTTTTTATTTTTTTGTCCTTGAGAATACAGGTGTAAAGTAGCTAACTTATTTCTCTTTCTCTTTTTTTAAATCTTGGATTTTGGTATATTCTTTCAGAGAATTTCTTCAAATATGCCTTAATGAAAAACGGATTTAAAAAAAATATATCTGTGTATAATCATGAAATCAGAAATAAGCTTTGAGTTATGCCAGTACAAACTTAATCACCATTGGAATTTTTACTGTGTATTTTTGTGTTTTACTCCCATTATCCATCTATCTTAATTCATAATATTCAGAATGCTTAGAAAGTAAAATAATACTGGATGTTTATATATTTCTACTTAACTGTGTTGTTACAACTGATGCTGGGAATGTAGACATGGAGTGGTTCAGTGTTTGTGTAGTTCAGGTTCTTAGAAACCCATATAAGGGGGACAGGAGTTAGCCATCTCTGTGGTTTAAGATTAGGGTGTATAAACCACGGTGGTGCATACTTGAGTATCAGCAACTCAGGAGGCTGAGGGAAGAGGATCACAATCAGAGTTCATTCATTCAAGTCAATAGCAAGAAAAACTGTAGTTTGATGTCCTTTTTAAAATCCCTGATTTTAACTTAAAAGACATTTCCTTAAGAAATAATAATTACCCTTCTTGGCCAGTTTATTAGTTCAGAGTGTCTATATATCTAGATTGCTATGTTTTTTCCCCAAAGACATAGGGAATCCTAATATCCCCTAATATCAAAAAAAAAAAAATCCTGTTAGATCTGTTAGGCAACATATTAATATAGTATACAGGCTTCAGTTTAAGAAAAGAATATCCCACTTGTGTTTCTTTGTCCCCCAGATTAAGCTACATTATTTGTGTGTGTGTGTGTGTGTGTGTGTATGTATATATATATATGAATGACTGAGTGTTGGTTTCACAGATAAAAGAAGTGGTTTTTTTTCCCTTGTTATTTGTTTTGTTGCTGTCATTGTTTTTAATAACTAGTTTTTCAGCATGTGGGTTTATTTCAGTCTTATTCATTAGGCTTGGGTCCATGAGAAGTGAGGTTTAAGCTTGGGCAAGTGTTTGAAAATTTCTTTGTCAGGCTAGGAAAGAGCAGCCTGAGATGGAGAGCCTGGTTGCAGTATGGTTAAACATTTCTTCTGCTGCCTTTCTCTGTTAATTTTAGTTGATGACTAAATTTAATTAGTAACCTATAAAAGGTATACTGATCTCTGTTGTTACATACTCTGTTGGAACTTCTTTCGTGTGAAAAAAAAAAAAAAAAAACCACAATGCCTAACTCAGTTCAAAAGTGCTGAAAAGCATTGGGAGTGTTGAAGTAGGCTAAAATGCCAGGAAGGTCCTTGAAATGCAAGTGTTTGATTTTGTGGGGAAACCCAAAGCTTGTCCAGAAAAAAATGCATTTGAAAACATAAATGTCTCTAACTTTTAAAACTTTTACTAGAAAGTACTGAGATTGTAAAATTCCTTTGTAATGTGGTAAGTCACATCAGTATTTGCTGAGTGCCTACTTGTTTACAAGGTAATATGAATATAGAACAGCACAAGTCCAACATTGGTCATGCTCCTAGAGAAATGCAGATTGATTGATTTATTTTTATTTTTTTTGTAGTTGTAGATGGATAACACACCTTTATTTTATTTGCTTATTTTTATGAGGTACTAAGGATCGAACCCAGTGCCTCACACATGCTAGGCAGGTGTTCTGCTACTGAGCTACAACTCCAGCCCAAGAAATGCAGATTTAATTTGTCTTAAAAATTAAATAATTTTTTAAAATATAGATTTTATATATGAGAAAAAAAAATGCCTTTCAATGTCTACTAGGAAAGTTCAGAGCTCAACAACTAGCCCCACCTGGACCAATGACAGTATTGTGACATAATACAAAAGATATTTGCCATAGAGGCAGGATACCTCATTCTCAATCCAGTCTGCCAATTTTCTGTTATGTGACCACTAAATTGTAACCACTAATTAGTAAATGTATTAACTTCTCTGAATCTCACTTACCTTACCTATAAAACAATAATATTTATCTCCCTAAGCCCAGAACCAAGAGGTTAAACTGAAATGAGAAAAGGTAAAAATAGCTATACACTGGCATGGTAGCTATCATGGCCATCAAAAGTGAACTCCTGACTGTGTGTGTGACAGTCTCACAGTAGACTCAAGACACTTAGTACTTGAACTCCACACATCTGTGACTGTTAATCATTTCCAAAAAATAAGTTCCTTGTTATCTTTGTGGTAAGTAATATTTTCTAGAGCATCAATTATATTCCCAGTGGTGGTACTGGGAAAGTAATTTCTGAGTTTTTGTCTTTATAAGCAGTGGGTTTCAATTTCCTAGAGAAACATTAAAGATAACAATAAATTAAGATATTCTATGCAATTCTAAATTTAAAACAGACTTTTCAGAATGTTATTATGTATATATTGAATTTTACAAAATTAAATCAGGTGAAACATAAATGTTACTTTGAATTTATAATCTCATAAAGCAAACTAAAACAAAGCTACATAAATTATCAATATCTTAGTAGTTGTTTATTTTTTTATATCTTTATTTTATTTTTATGTGGTGCTGAGGATAGAACCCATGCCTCACACATACCTTTGAGCCACAACCCCAGCCTTCTTAGTAGGTTTTTTAATATGCCAATTTAGTATGAATACTGTACTAAAAAAGCATGAATAACTGTTATTGCTTAGATTTCACTAAAATGAATAATATTTTCCTGGCAAGATGAAATTTAGAGTTTCTAATATATTTTATTTACATAAATTCAACCATCTTCTAATTTATCCAGAGCTTATGTGGATGCCCGTGTTCAGCCAATCTATGGTGGTACCAATGAAATAATGAGGGAGCTGATTGCAAGAGATATCGTCAGTGACAAGTAGACATCTGCCCACATCCTGGAATCCTATTACAGCTAATCTGGTTTTAAATCTACTCAAGATAAAATGAAACCTGGAAGGAGGGGAAATACTAAATATGTTTTTTATGTGCCTTCTGTGTAGAGAAAGAAATCAAATATAAATACAATATTAACAGTGGAAGGAGAAATATCTGAATCCAAAGAGTAAAATTCTCCTGTGAAGGTTTTACTTTTAAGTTTTTATATTGTTAAAGGTCAAAATTTTTCTGACTCTAGAAGCCTTAATGTTTCATTTATCTCTACAATTTTTAAAAGCATAAATTGCTTAAATCCCTAAAATTGAGGCAGAATTAATTTATATATGATATACTACTTTAAAAGCATTAATATTACTTCACAGTACATGGACTTTTAAAGGGAAAAATAAATCTAACTTAGACTATGAAGACATTTCAGCTACCTTTTGCTCCAGATTCTCTGGAATATTGGTTCCTACCATGCTACCATCAAGTTCTTTTTAAGCAACCCTTCTTGGAAACAGATCATCACATTGTACCCTATAAATATGTCCAGTCATTGTGTATCAATTAAAAATAAAGTGAAACTTTAAAAAGAAAACAAACTTTGTGTAGAATGTCTCTTGGAAAGCCCTTAGTGAGGAGCTGCTCTGGTTAAAGCAGGAAGCCCTCCTACCTCCTGCCTTGACATTCCTGGGACTCACCTGAAGGCTGTTGCCTAACCGGGACCACAGAATGCTCTTAGTTCTCTTAGGATGATGCCTGGACTTTCAGTAGACTTCCATTTCAGTTTATAATAGGACACAGACTTCATCATATTTACATTTCAAGATACTGGTAAGTATCAAAGCAGTAGCTTTTATTTTGTAAGAATATAATTTATTGATTGATTTAACAAATACTTTGTATCTTCTATAAACCAGGCTGTTAAAAATATAACAGCAAACAAACTGGTAGTAATAAATCATACAGGAAAGAAAAGAAACAAGACTATCAAATTATATTAATTATAATAAAAGAAAGTTAGCATTAAAAATAAAGTAAGGAAATCACACTTGATTTGAGAGTTAAAAGTAACTTATAAAAAATAAACCATTATTTGTAAACTGCTAACATCATTTCAGTAATTGTTCTTTGCATATACTGGTGAATCAGTGAATAAAACAGTTTAAAAAAGTAAATAGGTGTACTCTTGTTCAACTTAAAAAACTTAAAGTTATATTACCATTACAGTGGGGTAGAGCAGAGAGAAGAGATAGATTTCTTCAAAGTATACAGCTTTGATTTTTCTTTTCAGCAGACGTTCGCTAACCATGTTAGGTTCTTTCTCATATGCATTAATTACCATGCGAAATGGGTTAAAATAAGTTTTTATTAAGTGTTACATTATTTGAAGTTTTTACCTCCTTCTTAGAATCAAGAAGTGATAAAAAGGATTTGACTAGACCTTCCCTCCACCCCTACCCCCACCACAGACCCCTTTTTTTTTCCATTCCCAAACTTATGGAAACTAGATTTTATGAATATATTATCTGTAAATAGAATAGGAAAAGCCTGTAGAGGTGGACAGATCTGGGCTTGAATGATGACTCTACTATTTAGGATCCCTTCATTGGACCTTGGACAACTTCTTAGCATTTCTTCAGGTGCAAATTATAAAAACTCCATTCAAGCCATTATAAGGAAAATACTTGAGTGTTGTGGTTTAAAAGGATTACAGACTAGTCACAACAGTTCAAATGTTAGCTGTAGTGGCTAGGGTTTCAAGGGCCTGGTTCTAGAGTTTAGAACTGTCTGCACTTTCCCTAAATCCACTTCTTTCTAGTTTTCTTTGCAAATTGGTCTAAAGGACACTGAAGAAGATCTTCATTATGAGATGTTGGACTATTCTATCCCTGCATCCTTTAGCACAATGTCATAAGTTAGGGGAGAGATGTACTATGATTGACAGCCTCATCAGGAGTGCAGGGACAGGGGAAGCAGTTACTAAAGCAGAGGGTGTAATTATCAAAAGAAAGGGAACAAAAAAGTCTGTCAAGCAGATCTAAATAATCTTTCCCTCCTTCCTTCTCTCTCCCTCTCTTACACAGTTATAAAGTTCTATTTATTCTTATATATATTAAAAAATGAATGGATATCCAATTATGTTTTCTAAAAGTAATCTGAGATTATTTTCTTTCTTTTAAATTGGTAGTTTTCTTTACCTTACCGCCTTCAGTCTTGTATACCCTCAAAAGAAGCATGTGTTGAATCATGGACTTAAAAACTAAAAGAAGTGCTGGGTCCGTGGCGCAGGCCTATAATCCCAGCGGCTCTGGAGGCTGAGGCAGGAGGATCTTGTGTTCAAAGCCAGCCTCAGCAAAAGCAAGGCACTAAGCAACTCAGTGAGACCCTGTCTCTAAATAAAATACAAAATAGGGATGGGAATGTGGCTCAGTGGTCAAATGCCCCTGAGTTCTATCCCTGGCACACCACCCCCCATCAAAAAAAAAAAAAAAAAAAAAAAAAAAAAAAGGGGAATTCAGAATATATTTCTTAACTTTTCATTTGATTTTCATTTCTTAAACAGCTAATCTTTGTGTATTGCTTGTGTGTTGTCCCCTCAGGAGAAAATTTTATCATCTACATCTCATGCTGTGATGAGGAATCAAGAAACAGTAAATAATAATAATGTTCAAAAGAACAGGCTGGATTGACACAGCAAGAAAGCAAACTATGTAAATGTTAATGAGAATTTAAAGGCCTAGTCATTTGAGGTTTTGGCTGAGAATTTAGGATCATAATTATCACTTTAAAATTATTATTGCCCTTTATTTCTTTGATGCTGTCATTGAAGACTGCCTTGACTTGTTATTTTAAATTCTAACTCTGCAAATCTTTCTAATATAGTAATTTTAGTTGTTTATTGCTCAAAGTATAAGATTTCTAGGAGACTTTTCATGTCAGTATTATTTTTGGCACACATAGCATTTACTTATTTGGACCAGCATTGGAAAGATCTGATGTTGTGATTGAAACCAACTGTAAGCCTGTGTCAGCTACTTTACAATAAATGTTGAAAAGAAGTTGTATTCTATTTTTTAAAACCTTATTTTCAAGAGAAAGTTATGGGAAAAATTCCAAACATACTGAAAATTAGAGTATAATATAGTGAACCTCTAACCTCCTCCCACCCCCTTTTTCTCAAAAGTATTTTAAAACAATTCCCAGGCTTGATACTGTTCATTACACATGTGTTTCAAAATATGTATCTAACTGATCAATATTTTTTACATAGACACCAGGCTATTATCATATTTCAAAGATTTAAATTTAACATATAAAGCCAAGTTCACATTAAATTTTCCTTGGGTGGATAAAAAACTTTTTTCCTCTGTGGTTAATTTGTTCAAATCAAGAAAGATCTAAAGAAGATCCACAAATTGCATTTGGTAGTATTGTCTCCCCAATCTAATCTTCCCTTTTTTCCTTCTTTCTTTTTAAATTTTCAAAAAACAGATCACATATTTTTTCCCATTTTTAGTATACACACAGTAAAGTTTTTTTGTTTTATTCTTAGAATTTAAGCATGTATAGGTTTCTGCAGCAATAACCAAAATCAGGATGCAGAACAGTTATATCACCCCAGAAAATTCCCTTTATAGTCACACCTTCCCACACTTTAACCCCTGACACCAACCAATCTAAACTTTGGTATTATAGTTTTGAGTTGGTAATATAAATGGAATCATGCAGTAGGTTACATTTGGAAAATATCTTCTTTCTCTTGGAAAAATGCACTTAAGATTTACCCATTTTGTATCAATCAATAGCTTGGTGCTAAGTGGTATTCCACTGTATGGATGTACCACAGTTTGTTAATTTAATCACCTGCTTAAGGAAATTTCGGTTAAAGTCAAATCTTAACATCTTGCCAAGGTTAAATATCCAGGAGGGGAACTGTTAAGTCACATGGTAAATAAATGTTTAACTTAGAAGAAAGTGCCCAGCTGTTTTTCCAGAATGTCTCTATCACTTTGCCTCCCTGCCATCAGAGTTTCTGTTGCTTGTAATCTTCTCCAGCATTTGTATTTTTATTTTAGCCATTCTGAAAGGTATGTAGTGATATCTCATGGTTTTAATTTGCATTTCCCTAAAGTCTAATGATGTTGAACAGCTTTTCATGTGCTTATCTTTCACATGTATCCATTTGTGAATTATCTGTTCAGGTCTTTTGTCCATTTTATAAAACGTTGGGCTGTATGTTTTCTTAACATTGAACTTTGGGAGTTCTTTATATACTCGGATACTTTCAAGTGCATGACAAAGCCAGACTGACAGATTCATCTAGTTAAAAGGAAAACAAAAACAAAAACCATTGGGGCCTGTATTTTTACTTTTCAACATAAAGGTCCTATATTATACTTACATATTGAATTGTAGAGCCATTGTAAATTATGTTGATTTTGAATTATGGCTAATAGTTATTGCCAAGATAATTGTTGTTTCTTGATTTTGTATCTTGTATTTTGCTAAATATACATATCAATTCTAGGAGTTACTTTATAGACCCTTTGGTATAGTCTGAATAGATAATGTCATCCATGAATAGGAACAGTTTTCTTTCTACATAACCTGTATGTCTTTCATTTCTTTTTTCTCTTTTTTTGTGCCCTCCCCACTTTGTTTTGGTTTTATTGTACAGATTAGAACTTCCACTACAATGTTGAATAGGAATGATGAGAATGAACATTTTTGTTCCTGATCTTAACAGGAAGATGTTGGAGGCTTTTTTTTTTCACATTATATGTTATTTTTTTAAGACTTTTGCTTTTTTTTTTTTTTTCAATAGTAGCCCCTAATCAGGTTGAGGAGGTTCCATTCTAGTCCTAATTTGATGTGAATTTTTAACATTAATGGATATTGAGTCTGTCAAATACTTTTTTCTACATCATGTAGTTTTTCTCTTTTGACCTATTAGTATACCAGATGTCATAGTCTGTTCTTGCTGGTATAACAAAATGTCACAAACTGGGTAATTTATAAATAATAGAAATTTATTTCTCCTAGTTCTGGAGTCTGGTAAGTCTAAGATCAAGGTGCTGGAAGTTTCAGTGTCTGGTAAAAGAACGAGTCTGTGATTCTAAGAGGTGCCTTGAAAGCTGTGTCCTCAGGATGAACAGTGTTCTCTCATGGCAGAACGGCAGAAGAACAAAATGGAGCTATCCAGTCCCTCCATACCTTTGTAAAGGCACTAATCCCATCACAAGGAAGGGTAGAGCCCTTATATTTCCTAAAAGTTTTACCTCTTAATACTGTTGCATTGGGGAATAAGTTTCAACTTGAATTTGGGGAAAGAAAACATTCAAACCAGAGCTCTGGAGTATATTCCTTGACATTTAAGTATTAAATCAAATTTGCATCCTTGGTATTAGCCCCATATAGTCATTATTTTTTGTCTTCTTTATATATGATTTGGATTGATTTGATAATAGTTTATTGAGAATTTTTGTGTGGGTTCTTAAGGAACATGAAATTATAATTTTCTTGAACTTTCTTTTCTTGTACTTACTGGTTTTATCAGGGTAACACTTACTTCATAGAGTGAGTTGAGGATTATTTTCAT